TCCAAATGAGCGTGGGTTCCCAAGGGTATTTCCTGTCCTTCCATGGTTTCAGAGGCTGAGAAAATGAGGCCAGAAAAAGGAAAAATGCAGAACGTAGTGGGATTGTGAAGAAAGGAGTAGCAACCAGGGGGCCCAACACAAACTCACCAGGATAGACCAGGAAGTCGCCCCCGAACTTGCCGGCAGCGCTGAGGAAGAAGCCTCGCTCCCACAGATCCCTGTAGATGCTGTAGCGAAGCTCGTGGGCAGGGCGGCCAGCATGGGGCCAGTCTTTGGACTGGACACGCCAGTCCAGGGGCCTAGCCTTGATGGGCCGAGGCCTGGCAGTGGCCAGCTGGACGAGCAGAGCAGACCTGGGCAAAGGGGCCACTCCGTTTGAAGGCCCCGGTTGGGGAGAGGAGGAGCCTGGCAGGGGTGAATCCAAGAGTTTGGTGAATCGAAGAGTTTAGTGAATCCAAGGGTCAAGGTCTTCCCAGCCCCCAGGGAGACCCAGCCCTAGAGTCCCAGCCAGAATTTCCCAAAGAGCTCTTCCCTCCTTCCCCTGGTCCCCGACTCCAACGCCCACCTTCACCTGCTTCTTCATGCTCCCCAGCAGCCTGGCTAGCACTGGCCTCATTCTCTTCTGCAGCTTGGTTTCCACTGGGCTCCTGGCTCCCACTGGTCCCTGATTCCTGTTCCAGCTTCTGCTTCTTCGCAGCCTGGCCCTCGGCAATCTTCTCTAGGAGCTCCTGACGACGGGTCTCACGGGCTTCAGCTGCCAGAGCACTTTGCTCCTGGAAGCCCTGCTCCTGCTGGCGCTTGAAGGATGCTAATGCCTAAGAAATAAATTTAGCCTTAATCTCAGGATCCAGGCATGCCCTCCTTCAGGAAGCTAGGAATCCTGACTCTGGGGCCTCTCCCAACCTCAGGGCATTAACCTGGGGATCCCAGTATCTTACAGTATTCCAGAATCCAGGACTCTCAGACCCCACCCACTGCAGGGACTCGTCCAAATGTCCAGCCTCTTCTCCCGCAGGTCCCCGGGAGTTCGTGCCCCCAGCCTGCCCCCTTACCAGGCTGTGTTGGCGGGGATCCGGGCGCGGGGCGCTGACCAGGGTCACTGC